TCAAAAGAGCAATTTTGGAACAGAACACCATTAAATATTTGCATTAGATGCAAACCTTATGACTTTTTATAGTTAAACAACAGTTGCTCTTTTTACTTTTCTTAGAAAGGAATCTCATTTTAAACACACTTCGTATCCTTCTCCTCTGCAGCTTGCCCAATACGTTCAATATTATGGTAAGAGTTTAACCAGGATTCACCACGTCGCTGTAAACACACAGCAGTGCGAGAAGCAATCAGCTACAAGGCTTAGTAGCGGGGGATCACTGTGATGGGCCTCAGCCACTCGCAGAACTCTGCGCTAGTTCCCTGAGCTTTTAAATTTAAATCTTGAGACCTAACAAAACCCTTTCCTAGAAAGCAAATTATCTAATTATGTAATGCTAAGGGTATCATGTCCCCTGAGCCAAGCCCAACGTACATTAGCCTTACTCACCCCGTGCCTTTTGTCTTCTTGGGAGGCCTAATGAAAAGCAGCTTTAGCTTGACTGTTGAGGACAGAAGGAAATTAGATCCCAGCAGTGAAAATGAAACAGAGGAAAACATAGTTCTGAATTGCTACAATAGCTATTCTRAACATGAAGCTCAGTTTTGATGGTTCAGGAAGCTCACGTGGTTGAAGGCCCAGCTTTAATATATTCAGTTTTGCTTTTGCTTTATGGTCTCCAACACAAAACTGACAAAGAGGATAGTAAGGAACACGAGAGAATGACACTTCCTCTCATACCGTGCCTGCAAGCCCTATCCCAGCGCAACATATGGCCACTACTATCAGCCAGCCCAGCAGAGAGCTGGGCACAGAATGCGCGTGAAGGCCGAGCTGTTCTCCAGCTTCCTCACCAGGCTGTTGAGTCCTCTTAATGGGTGGATGCTGCACTGATCTGGCAGAGCATGAATAATGCAAACAATTTGTCACCACTGGTGTCAATCCTGCAATTTTCCTCAATAGAGACAGCTGCACAGGCAACTGCAAAATAAATTAAGGTACGGATTTAAACACTACTAACTATTCTGCTGTTAGATTTGGTTCATAAAAGCACATAGAGATTCTAGTTCCCATTCTAAAAATCAGTGAGCCTAGGTTTATAAATGCCATTGTCAATTCAATTTAAATCACCACCCTGACAACCATACTGCACATTAAGGAGACATGGATAAATCATAGAAAAGTTCTCTCAGTATGGGAAATGTCTATATGGGGTATAGCATCATTCCGTAAGAGCTTGAAAAAAAATGCCATCTATTTTTCAGGGCATCAAAGATACTAACACTGAAGTGCGTAAAGTATCTTTTAAAACTGAAGGCATTGTTGAGAATGTTATACAAGCTGTTATATTGACCTATCTGTAAAATATTCAGAAGTAACTTCTAAAGGGGAGAAATTTCTAAAGGGGAGAAGTTTAGCAGAGCCAAAAGAGTTTCAACAAAAAGGAAGCCTTGCTTTGCTCCATGTAATGTAAGAAAAAAAATTCAAGACTTTGGAAGCACATTTTTCAAAGACATCTAAACTCCTCTCCAAGCATTTATTGCTTAAGCACTAGGAACCAAATTTGCAGATATGTTTAGGTGTCTGAAAATACAGAAAGCTTAATAAATTTCTATAAAAATCATAAATAAGTCGGTGTTTCACCCACTTTGTAACTCTTGGAATCCTCATAAAAATGTCTTAAGACATTCAATGCCAAATATTCAAGTCTTTTTACTACGTACTTTTTTTTTTTTTTTTTTTTAACTATTTACTACCTCTTTACTATGGTAATTTTTCATCCAGGATGCTTCCAGCACACACCACTGCAAGAGTACTGCTGGAACTCATATGTACAAACCCACCCCACTTGCTTTGCAGCAGTTTGTATACTCACAGCTAAATGAACCTTTCCTTGGCAGCTTGTCTGTGTAGTAATCTTGAACAAACTGCAAATGCCATGCTTCCTTACTGGAGACTCATCTGGAGGTTAGCCTTGAACATTTCCTATTTTTCCTGACAGCTGAATCTAAAAATCACCATTTAAAGAAAAAAATCTAAAACAATACTTAAATTCCTTTGCCTTCTGGGATTTAGAATTCTGTAACCAATTTAAAACCTTTCAAAAGTCTGTCTTCTATTTCACGGCAGACACATTTTTTAGCAAAACCAGCAAGAATTTATCCTACAAAGGTTTCAYAGTCCCTAAGAACATGATAAAATGTAGTGGTGTTCAAGAGAAATTGGTAATACAAAATACTTTGAAGAAGCACATAATTTTTCTATGGAACAAGTTACTGTTAATAACTACCGAGATTAGAAACTTAACACAATTCCCACACGGAAAATTTATTTCARTAACTGAAGTAATCCAAAACATTACAAAACGGATAGTATCTTTGTGCTCTAGGGCTTTAGCAAACCACTAATAGATGGAAGCCTGTAAAAGCTTTTCTCTGGGGGCAGGTTATTCTGTAAATTTATGCCCTAGGTTTTGTTATAATTCCCTCTGGCATATCCTGTTATTTCCAGTGATTTTCAGCAAACGCGCTCAAGAATCTCTGACATACATCTATACCACAAATAATATTTTTTTAGAGAATCAGGCAGTCAACTTTTAAAAATTTCTAACTCCTGAAAGTAGTCTTACAAATGTGGACTTCTGTAAGGTAGCTTAGGCAAGCCTACAATGCTTCTGCTTATGTAGTTAGCCCAGCCTTAATCTCATCTCACATATTCTTATTTTTATATAAAAACAGTGTTTAACCAAGACAGTTGAACAAACAGCTACACCTGCAGAATACAGCATGTAGATTGAGACGTATTTCATTATTACAAAGAGAAAATAGTAATAATCAAGTATTTTCTCTCATAGCTTACACTGAAGCATTTGTTTTTACTTGCATATTCATGATCTTATCAGGGTATTATTGCCTTCAATTCAAACCTGATTAGGACTTTGAAAGGGGAAAGAAAAAAAAAAAAGTTCTGCACTTTCAGAAAACAGGAACTGAATACAGAAGGTTTAAGGAAAATCATTGCCTACTACAATGCGCTATTATTTCCAGTGATAATGCTTTCTTAAAATCACAAGTCCTTTGGGGAAAGCATTTTCCATAGCAACGAATCAACTTTGCTAGAACACACTCCAAGACAGGTTCCTCACAATATYACTGACTTTAGGAAACACTGGAACTCTTACATTACATTTAAAATAGCATAAATATTATCTTCTTGACAGGGATACCAACAGGTTTTTTACTTTGGGTTTTTCTCTTGTGGACTGACCCATTCACAGTTCTTCCAATCTCGTGCAAAGCAACTAACCATGAACTCTACACGGCTACTCTTTCTCCTCACGCTTATCTCCACATCCAGTACTTTCTGTTCAGAATTCTTCACCATGACCACCCTGCCCCTACACATCCCCCCACCAGAAAACGGGCACATCCACACACAGGTCGGCAGCCTGGGAAGAGCGTGTCTTGTCACACCACAGGAACCGGCAATACAACCAAGTGCATCAGGGGTATCCATGAGAGTTCACCAATGGGGTTTCCCCCCCTTTTTTTTTTTTTTTTTTAATTAATGATATCTTACTTTTATTCTTATAAAGAATATGGTATACAGCATATTCACACATAAATATCAAATCTAATTCTGATTTGATTAAATTCTTCTCAAAAGAAAGTAAAAGAATTTCAGACTCCTCTATAATAATTAAGACTAGGCTTCTTTTTCTTAATTTGTAGTTATTCATTAAATAGTATATCCATTCACAAAGAACTACATACCTCAGACTGCAAACCAATATCCTAAGCAAACTGTGAAAATGATTATATAAAGACATTGTAATTGCTGAATGAACAAAGAGGGTGTTGTTTCTTCGTAATATCATTACATCTTTCAGAAATAACAAAAGGAGAAAATGAAACAATTCCTGTTTCTAAATCAATTGACCCCTCTGCTGCCTTTTGTTTACTAAAAAAAGCCACTGTCCTAAAGCCAGCACTGAAAATTCACCTGCTTCCAAAACAACTGCAAAGCTTCTTCATTATATGGCATTAACCGGAAAAAAAAAACCTTCTCACACAAGACCAACTTCTGCTATTTCCTACACCATGTCAAAGCTCTCATTAAAATAAAGAAACTAAACCTGCTTCATGTCTAAAGCCAACACAAACACACAAAAACCCACAGTGGATAAGGAATTGYTTCTGAATGAACTTCTTTTCCTTAGTTTCATTTTTGTGTTGTTTTTTATAATACAAATTAATTTACACTGCCAGGGATGTCCTTGGCAATAATGAATGCAAAACCTGGACTATTTTTGACAATAAGACATCTCTAGTAATAAAAAGGACTGGGGCAGCAAAGTATGTACTAGAATCAGATAAAAATACTGAAAATCTCTTTTCCTTTAATCCTGTTCTGCAATTTTTGTAATCTCTTTTGCATTTCCTCTTCTGGATGGAACATATGGGAATTAACTGCTGCTTTTTACCTAATATGTCAAAAGCAAAAMAAAGGGCAAAAAAAAATCTAAATTAGCTTCAGAGTGAGCCTGTGCACAGAACACCAGTACAAGAGTTCTGCACAATACACTGTAACTTTCAGACTAACACTGAATTTTAACTTTTCATTTTATTCAAATGCCTAAAATTTGACAGCAATTACAATGCAAATCTGTGCCATTGCAGACAGCAGTTTGCTGTCTATTGCAGATGCCCTTCCCCTCACAATGCCATTCCTTTTAGCTCAGTAATAGGGCTACCATCACTACTGGGTCTAAAGAAGCCTCCTGTTCACCCATTTGGTTTTACAACATACACAGAAATTCAAAGTATTCAAAGGATTGGTATTCTTGTTACGTAACAGGGCAGAGGGGAAAAAAAAGACAAAGGCTTCTTTTGCTTAGGAAAAAAAAAAAGTCCTAGTAATCATAAGCAGCTGAGGAAGTTGTAACAACCTWTACTGCCTTCTCTGCAAGCCATTTTGGTAGTGACTTACAAAAAWGGTTAATGTTATTGTTTTACCTTGGGCATGTACACAAGAGAGTATCAATTTAGCACTTTACCTGCAAAGAGAGAGAATTTCAATTTATCATCACAAAATCAGCTAAGTTGTCCTCACCTTCCTTCTCCTCACCTTTCCCAAACCTTTGAATATTGCTATTTTTCCTGATATGGCGGGATTATCTAATATTTATATCTAATAAATATCTATTTATATCTAATAAATAATAT